TGGTAAGAAAATCGGCTTATTTTTGTTTTATTGGTCCTTTAATATTCTTTATACAATTTGTTGTATTAGAAATCACTTAAATACTACTAATTATTAATCTTTTTACGACCATCAATTTAAACTTGTTGCTGACGTAACACGATATTAAAACCACGCTAGTTAATTATATCAATTTGTAGATTTTATCTGCCTGGATTCAAAATACTTTTACTTCTCATCGTTATCATCATTAATATATTTTATAAGGCTTTTATGATCTCTAATTCTCCCATCACGGCGCTTAAACTATTCGATAATTCCTCTCAATTACACTTAATCAAATGTTTTTTTTTTTATTTACTGCAATAAATAAAATCAAAAACATAATTTATACTCTTTTTGACTGAATTTATTTATATTAATAACTAAATTTGTAGAGCATATTTTAAACAGATATAATTTTTATATTTATTTACGACTTTATATAACTTCTATATAAAGTAGTTATTTCTGAACATAAAAAGTTATTAAAGTTTAGTTAAATTGAATAGAAAATTGTTACATATCCAAAATTTTTTTTTTAATTTATTTATAGTTTAAGATACCTATTTATGGTTGTTTAATTCTAATTGTATTAAAAAAAATCAAGGTATCAAGGTAAAACATTAAGTATTTAGAAATCTTTTATTTAAGTTAACTTACTCAATTCATCATTTATTTTATATTTCATATTTGTTTCTATACATATATGCTTATATACTTGCTTTATACTTAATAAACAAATTAAGCAATAATTTAATAAATATAGTATATACTATATCACTACTAAAACATCAGAATTAACAATACATATATATATATATTATATATATATATATATATATATATATATATATATATATATATATATATCTAAGTACAGATATATATACATATAAGTGTATATATTATTTTGTTGTTTTCTAAATTAACTTTAAATAATTTTGGCCTTTGCAAATTCACCCTTAATTTTTAATGTTACCAGCAATTTATATATTGTATATATATATATATATATAGCAGTGACGACGCGTGCCCTATCTGGAAGGGTGTGCGGCCCTTCTTTAATGTTGTTTTTACATGTACCAATTATATTAAAATATATGAGATCTTTTATTAATAATAACTATATTATATAAGGCAATAATATAGTCGCAATATTATATTAACAATTCATTAACAAAATAACATATTAAACAAATTAAATTAATAATTTATATATAAATTTAATATTATATCAATATGGAAGAAACAAAACTTTTCACATAATTCTCGTAACATCAAACCAACTTTTTTCAAACAAAAGAGTTTTAACTCAGAACCATACATGTTTATCCAGTGATCAAACAAAATCAAACCCACTTGCAACGTACAAATGTGCGCACAAGTACTCCGCACAGTAAGAACAGAAATTCGTGGGTGCTACTGTTAAAAGGGGAGAGACGAAATGTGATAGAAATGTATGCTGAGATGAGCTGCAAACTTCAGCCGCTCATGCAACCACTTTGGCAAATCATCATGTTGGATTCGTATGCATGCAGTTGATATTCGAATACAACAAAAATTTACTCTCATACAATTCCCACTATATAAATCTCTATCTCTGATATTACGAATGGGAGCACACGCACATTATTTTGTTCATATGCAACGTATGAATGTGCGGCCAACTTCTTTGCACACAAAGGGGAGAGACGAAATAAAATAGAAATGTTCTGTGATTTGAGCTGCAAATATATGAGCACAACTAACAAGTATAGCAGCTAACAGAAGCAAATTGATTGAGTTTTCATAGACAATTATATTTAATTGTTTTTGCTAAAACTTTAAAAAATATATATGTATATGGAAATGTAATAATTAATAATAATTCTTGATGTGAAGATACCTAATAAATTTATATACCTATGTTATTTGACATTTTGCAAATTATGTTAGGGTGTTCACCGCACACCTCCGCACCGTAGAGCAATCGTCACTGATATATATATATATTTAAGTACAGATATATATACATATAAGTGTATATATTATATTATTTTGTTATTTTCTAAATTAACTTTAAATAATTTTGGCCTTTGCAAATTCACCCTTAATTTTTAATGTTACCAGCAATTTACATCACCTATTTACTCTAAGAACATTTTCAAATAATTTTGCTACGCAATAATTGAACAATTTTTAAATCTATACAAATTTATTTATTCTAAATAGATTCTTAATAATATTGATTTATAATTTGGAATAATTTGTTGTTTATTTGATTTGGATATAAAAAATTAAAAAGTTTTGATTGTATTAGTATCGAAATTTTCTTAAAAAACACAAAAATAGATATTATTAATTCACTGATATTTATGGTAAAAAATAAACATAAAAATGATTGTTTAACATATTTATTGAAGGACTAACTTGGTAACACAGTTAATAAGTTACAGTTACTTATTAACATTTATATTAAAATACAATGTACAGAGCAGTCTGTACCTGAAATCCATTTCATATGAAAAATAGTTTTTATAATGTGTTAAGGATTGGCAATCAGGATACCGTATAAATTTAATAACATGTAAAACATCCTAATATATTACTTAAAAATAATTATTGTTAGTATGTTGTAGTCGTCTTTGTTAAAATATTTACAGCTTCATATTAAAAGATACAAGAATTATAACTTATTAACACTAACACTATCCAGGAAAAAGCAGGGTAGCCAACTTGTTAGTTTTTTTCTCTCAATTTAAGGAATTAGACTGTTTTAAATAGTTTATTCAATTTCAATGAAAAATATATTTTCTATTTTTTCAATTTAAAGAATCCTGTAAGTAATATTATATATTGAATAATTTTTATTACATATAAATGAGAATTACGATTTATACGTACATAGATAAATCCTGAAGCCGGTGATGTAAAAATATGATTATAAAGTACAATAAAATAAGTTTATAATAATTCGTAATGTAATTTTATTTATTAATTTTTATTATTAATTTTACACTACCACGAAATCCATATTCCAATTTAGGGTTTAAGAGTTTAAGTTATAAGAGCTTTTGGAATGATTTTTAGGAGAAAAAATCTTCAAATGTTGGCAACACTGTCACATAACACACACAAGATTTCAATTATCGGAATAATTCGGACCATCTATCCGTTTTGAGTATTTTGCCGAATATTTTAGAATATATAGAATATAAATGCCAACCGAATTGGTCATTATTATGTTATTTGATATGTATTTTTGGTGTATACGTTTTAAACCATTTGGTGATAATTTCACTTATATTGTGATGTAGAAACAAACACATTAAATTCATCATAAATTTTTGAAAATATACTTGATTGAAATAAAATTATAATTAAATACCAGTAAATTGCTATATTTGTTAATTAATCCAGATAATCATTAACATATACCAGAACCAGTGAAATGTTATATATATTAATTTATCGTCACAATCATTAATCTATAATATGCGGAGTAATAAATAAATAAACTTTCAAAAATAAATAAAATATCAATATGTTAACAATTTAAGTTATGTAATATAAATTTTTTAAAAGCAAGCAACCATAATTATGGCGATATTTTCTATATTACATACATATGCAAAGGAATGAAAAATAACGTATGCCAATCAAAATGGTTCGAATATTATAACAACTAATTAATATTCGAACACGAATATCTAAATACGAGTATCTAAAATGCTTTGAATATTATAAATATCCGTTTACTACGAACTATCCGAATTATTAAAATATTGTATGTGATGTAAAATTGCAGGACAGTTTTCAGGTTGAATAAGTTATAATTCTCATATGTTTTGTGGGTATGGATGTACAGGTATATAAACTATTTATTTATCTATATAGTTCCATATAGTATAAGTTGATATTTATTAGATGTAAGGTACAAGCCTTTAGAAGAACATCGATACAAGTTCTAACAAAGCTTTTTCAATTAGTCAAGTATTCAATTATCTATTGCAGATAAAACTTAATTTGCTATTATTAGATGAGATAACTTTGCAACAGGTTTTAAAAATTATCATTTTTGATATAACTATCTAGTAAATAAAGTTTTTTTTTTAAATTTTTAAAATTTGAGACATAAAGTCAAATGTAGAACGTAGTGAAAGATCAAATTGTCTTGTGTAATTGGATATTTAACACATAATATATTTCATATCGTTTACACATTCGTAACAATTCTATGTTCTAGTATAATCAAATAATTGTGGTCAGGTACACATTTTGGCAAATGTTCAAATAAAAAGTAATAATTGAAATCATATAACTAACAGAGAAAAATGGTTATTTGCAAACACTATTAAAATATATATTTTCATAATATTCATTATATTAGGCATTCCAATGAAATAATTAATTTTATTTAATTATATCAAATTTATATTGACAACTAATGTGATTATCAATTTAAAACGTATACCTTTCAAATCACTAAAATATATAAATATTGTAATTAATATTTATTTTTAAAATTTATTTCAAAATTAAGTTAAGGCATTTTAATTATTTAATTCTAGTATTTTACAAAGCTTTAATACTGTGAAAACAATATTTGTTTTAATGAAAATTTAAAAAATAGATTAGTAAAACTAAAATTCTAAATTAATCTTAAGTATAAATTGATATTTAACAGTTAAATTATAATAATAATACAAAAAAATTTTTGTGTAAAATAAAAGATAAATTTCAACCATAAACACGAAACATAGTTAATTAACAATAATACATTTGATCAGTAATCGATTGAACGTAACACTGATTATTTACATCCAGCATAAGAAACTTTTTCAACTTTAATAAGTTAACAATTTTTTTTGTTAATATAGAATAATAATAAATAAATAAATTTAATACATAGAATTAAATACAAGAGAAAATAATATATATATAGATTAATTATATTTTCGTTTACTTGTCATTTATTAAATTAATCAATATATTAAAGTTAATTGCATTTACTAATGTGAGCAAGGCTTTTTAGAAGGACATTTTAATATTAAACCTTACAGATTATTTAATATTTGGTAAAACCTCGAAAAATACTTATGAATTCAAAAAAATGTTTTTTGGTTAAAAGAGGTTAAGTTTTCTACACTTAATGAGCTATTGGTGTTTACAGCCTTAGTAAAATTTCTGGTATTCCTATTTAGTAGTGTGCCTCGCCCAAGCGGTTCTTTGTACGTGGCTCATCATTTGACTCCGATTAGGCACTTTCTCACTAGTGCTACGTGTTATAAAACTGGGTGTAGCTGAAAGCTTACGTTGATTTGTCACATTACCAGCTTCATCGGTCACTTTAAGCATGACCGTATTAAAGCGCTGCTCATTGTTGTTGATATTAGCACAATTAGGACGTGATGATGGCGAGTCCAGTGTGGATGATGAATGCGAGCTACTTTCCCGCGTACCGGATGTGGTTGCGATGTTGCTAGTGGAAACTGCAGCATTTATTTTCATCATTTGCTCATCTAGATTATTTAAATTTTTATCAATGCTTAAACGCATTTCATCGGTGATTGGACTATTTGAGTATGAATTTCTGTTTAATGTGCCCATTGGCGAAGGCGTTAAATTACTAAGCAGACTAGATGTACTCAGAAAATTATTGTTATTATTCGATGGACTGCATGACATTGGATTAACAAAGAAATAGGAATTTTGTGATGTCTGTGGTGTAACCGTTCCGGGTAATGGAGAAGCTCGCAATGCAAGTGACGTTGATGTGCTTGCCCCTAAATTAAGAGCTTGAATACGATTCAATAGTTCTTGATTTAGTTGAAATAGATCCTTGTTAGCTGTATCTTGCTGTGGTTGGGTACTTTGCAGATTCAACTGATGCAATTGACTATTGATGTTCTGCAATTGATTCATCGAGTGAAATGGACTGGTGGAAAGTGTGCCAGTATTATTGTTATTATTGGCAGTAGATACATTCAAATGCAGCTGAGATTGTTGTAATATTGTGGCGGGTGTGGGTGGTGTGAGTGGCTGTGATGTTTGTGGTTGTTGTTGGGAATTTTGTTGTGCCTGCTGCGTTAAATTTGCATTGATATTTTGAAAATTTTGTAAATTTTGACTTTGTTGATTGAGGCCGCTGAGCTGTTGGCTCAACGTTGTTATTTGTTGATTTAATGATCCCAAATTGTTAATTTGTTGATTAATGGCAGCCAAGTTATTGTTGTTACTTGCAGTCTGTAGAAGGATGGGCAACTGACTCTGCACGATGTCATTAAATAAAAATAACAGATTCCATTATAATTTTTTTAGTTAATTTCTTATTTTTTTATTTGAACACAAACACTGAGCCGCAAAAGGTAAAAATCAGCACAAAGACAGAACGCAAACAAAATCAGTACATTCTTTTTAATAATTTTTTTATAAGACAAGAAAATTTCATGCAACATGCTTGGATTTATACAGAACATTAATAAAATGAAAATTATTTCAAGTAATTATTTTTTAACTTTTAATTGGTCTCTGAGACAATACAATTTGCAAAGCTTTTCGTATTTTTATATTTTCAATATTGTAATTTTTAGGATTATGGTTTTAATATGTTTCTTCTTTTATTCAATTTTGGCCTGATTGAATGAGATGTCTCAATATTGTTTATTTAGGTTCTATCATGTAAAATGAGATATGAATTTTTACTTAAAAAAATAGTAAACATTAAACAATTTGGCATTTTTATATATATTATTTTAATTCTATTAACAAAATAAATAGAAAAATGCAAAATTTTCTTTATTTCTATTTAGACTATATTGATGAAGTTGACTTAAAAGTACCAATTTTAATTAATTGTATTTTAATAAATTTAAAGTCTTAACCATTTCTATTAAATTACTACTTCTTTAGAGCTACAAAAACTGTATTTCATAAAAAATTCTAGTGGGTAATGGTATGACTACAATTATCTTAGTATATTAACAGTAGTCAATTTTGATATTTTATACATAAATCTTTACATATATTATTCTTTCTAATTTATTTTTAGTTTAAGTACTATATTATTAAAAATTGTGATAGTTGACTGTTGTAAATATTTATTGCTAGATTTGCAATATATAAGCACATAAGCTAAAAATGTAACCAAATTAAAAATTTAAATAAATTTCAATTAGCAATTGTGACTCTTTAAAAATTTAAAAAGTGATGAACTAAATAAATAAATTTCAAAGCATGCCACACAGTTAGAGAAAAACTCAAAGCAAAACAAATAATTTTTTATAAACCAAATTATATATAGAATTTTTCGAATACACTTGAATTACCTGTGGCGCCATAGCAATATTGGCCGATGTCAGCCCCGTAGTTTGTTGGTCAGTGTAACCACCCAAAGACGCCAAATGCTCGAGTAATTCGCGATTTTGCTGCAACAATTGTTGTGTGCGTGCCTAATAAAGTACAAAAGATATTTTTTAGATAAATTTTCATAAATAAGCTCTTAAACGAAAATTAATTATTTTTGCCTAAAATTCGAAGAATCGTCAATTCATGACATATTACCTGAGCTTCCATACGAAGATTCGTCTCCGAAATTAACTGCTCACGCACAAAAAGCAATTGCGCCATAGTTTGGCGCGTTTGCAGCGCCTGTTGTTCAAGTTGTTCCTTCAGTTTCATTATTTCACGACTAGGCGAAGAGGGTGTGGTGGGCGATTTGTCATCATCAGTCTGCAAAGTAATTATTTTTCAATAATTAATTAAATACATAAACATTACTTTAAAATAAATATCCGCACACGAATACATCAGAGCTATCAATCACAGATGCACGTTGTTGAATATCTGTAACATTTCCGACTTGGAATTGTTTACTTTCTTTAAAGATTTAAAGATTTAATGGAACCAATCAGGCAATATTCAATAAATAAACAATAGCAAATTTAAGAATAGAAAGATTTATTAATTTGGTTTTGAAATTAATGAATGCGATTTCACAATTTGACTCAAAACTCATTTTGAAGTTATTTATTTTCTGATATTTTTTTTCTATTGAAATTGAAATATTTGTTTTTGGAAATTCATAATTTTAGTGTAAAAATAAGGTAGGTGTTCTTCAGGTTTTCTTCTAAATTTTACAATATTTAAAGCGTAAATATTTGTGCGAGAATATTCATTTAAGCTAATTAACCAACTAATACTGTATTTAACTTCAGCATAAATCGACGAAGCTATTCATCATCGTTAGCCAGCAGCAAATTAGGTTGCAGTAATGGTACAGACCAAGCAAACAATGCGCATAAATTACTTATTATAAAAGCAAATTCATCAAAATATTTCATTTAATTTTGATAGAAAATTATTTAATTTTCAATGTGACGGCGGACAGCATTTCGAAATTTTGTTTGTAAACAAAAATTATTTTAGCGTATATTTTATTTTTAAAGTTGTGTTTTGCTATTTTTAAAATCGTAAAATCTAGACAAAGGTAAAAAAAAATTTCAAAGGTTAGCAGAAAATTAGTGGAACAATAACAAGAAATTCCTCATTCAAATGGACCTGTTCCAAAAATGATCACAATCCATATTTCTAGAATTAGGTGCTATGCTACATAAAATATTACTAAATAGCCCATCTGGAATGAAATATAAAATAACTTTCAAAAACATTTCAATAATATAAACACATAACAATTTTAGAAGTTCGTATGATGTAAAACAGAAAAAGAAAACTTTAAGTGAAAGTAATATGATTGCTTTAAATATACACAGTAACAACAAAAGACATATATGGGAATATGCCAGCGCTCTTAGGCCACAAGTCGAGACAGTAATCACGTGTTAAATTAAATGTATAAAGTTTGTGAAATATTCCAAACATTTTGTAAATTATATAAGGCAAATCATTTTGGATTCTTTGTATTCTAGTAAACGCCCAAGACGCATATAAGTATACGATATAAAACAATGGAGGCACCGCCTTACTAAACATTTCGCAACTTTTCTTCTAACTTACTGGCCAACTTACTGATTATTATTTATTTATTTATTAAGACTTGCATGGCGTCACATGATTTCAATTGATTCTATACTGGGTATAGGCTAACTACAAATTGCCTCCATCTTTGCTTTCTTACTGCCACTTCTTTGAGCCCAACAATATTGATGTATGATCTATCCAGGTCTGTGGATTGGCTGTTGATTTCCTTTAGTGTTGATCTGTGCCAGGTAATTTTAGGCCTTTCTCCTCTTCTTCTGCCTTGCGGATTATACGTAAGGGTTTGAAAACCAAGTTCACTCAACGGCTTTCGTGTGTGATCAATCTAGTCAAACTTTCTTTTGCGGATATTTATGTTGATGTCGTTTGTATTCGTTTTGTCCTACAGTTGATGGTTTGAAATTCGGTTTGGTCAAAAGATGCGTAATATTTTCCGAAGGAATCGGTTTACAAAAGCTCACAGTATAGATAAAACATTAACCTGTAAATACTATATCTACATATTGTGTTCATTTTTGTAAATGCGCCAATCTCCTTACATATTCTTGCACTCACGTCCTGCATATTACCACCATCAATAGCAACTACATTTCCCAATATCGAAATTCATTCACTTATTCCACAATTTGATATTGAAGTTCGAGTCGGTCATTGCATGTTGTGTTAATTTGCATTTCTTTGGTTTTATATGCATTGGTCATAAGCCCAACTTTTGCCGCTTCCGCTTCCAGATTTTCAAGTTTTCGCTACATATCGGTAAAACGATGTGCCAATTCGCATTTATCGTCTGCATAATCCAAAGATTCTAGTGAGTCATTTGTGTCTAAAGGGCTCCAAACGATGACACGACCATCATTTTCCATGTTTAGAAACAGCATCGATAACGATTTAAAACAGCACGGGTGACATGACATCCAACATTTTATCTTCATGCATTGCTGAACATTCAAAACCGTCGTAATTGCTTCGTATAAAGGAGTTATTTTCTCCAAGATACTGATGTTATGCATCTCCACCTAAATACACTCGCAGCAAATTGAGTCGAATGATTTTAATTTTTTTCTCTTCAACGAAAAAGTTCAATGATGAGTGAACGCATCTCATTAGACTGTTCAATGATGATTCTTAAAGTGCTAATCTGGACAATGCATGAGCTATTACTCCAAAAGTCTGCTTGTTCTCCTTGCAGTTTAGGGTCAACAATGAAGATGGTCGACGAAGTAGACCGAAATATTTGTTAATAAAATATATCATATTGATATTTTTATTTAATTTAAAGTTTGTTTTTTATATAATATAAGTTATTATAAAAAAATATAAATTTAAAAACACGACCCAAAACCCGGCAAAATTTAAAACGTCATTATGTTTTATGATTCGTCACAAAATTTTCTTTATGAACTTTATGAACACTTTCATCACGACGCAAAGTAATGCCTCGCCGTCGATCGTTTGTCTTAATCTTTGCATTATTATACTTTGCACATATCATTGCGTGGTGCTTCTTCGGATAGTGAACTCACATGTGGGTATTTGCTACCAGTAAGTGGTGGTCTGAAGCTATACCTGCACCACATTTGCTACGCACATCAGAGCGACAATTGCTCCATTTCGCACTGACACATACGTGATCTACCTGATTTTCAATAACAACATCTGGGGAGACCCATTTTAATATGTGCTTATGTTCATGTAGAAACAATACCCCGCCAATTATAAGTTCGATAGTGCCATAGTATTCTATAAGTGGCTATTCTTAAATTGGGTAAATGATTACAGGTAAAATATTAACGCGGTTTACTGCCAAATTTTGGTGCAGTCGAACCATCTTTTCTTCTTGAAAAGAATTCTAATTTGTTTTAAATTTCGCCAAAGTACAATGGCTTCAATTTCATTATCTGTCACATGAAATCGATAGTTAAGTTTATCATTGAAAAATTTTGCATTGCACTCCTTTTATTAATATGGATACTTATTAATCCGTATCATCCATCATCATTAACTTTGTTTACCAAATATTTAGTATACTCTCTTTTCTAACATGTGTGATGAATCGTCCTTTTTGTATAATTTGATCCAAGCTTTTAAAATATTTTCACTAAGGAAATGTGTAATTCTGGTTTAATATACTTGCTGGAAATTAAGTACTTTATGCGATTTGTGTAGATGGTAAATCTGGAGTTACTAATCACAAATCTCAACTCCCACCTTAGAAATTTTGGTACTAAAATTCGGTTATGGACTCATGCAGTCTGTAGCTAATCCAAGATCTATTTTGACTAAGCCACTATCTTTCTTCTTGAACAAAAGCCTAAATTCGTAATTATATACACACAAACACACAAACTTTTCAAACGTTACCACGCTTAGGCATATTGTAGGCGTTAATGCAATTAGGCCTATTATTTTATCATTATTATTGTTTAGTTATATCGTGTATATTATATTTCAGTTAGTGTCTTCATCAGAAAGTCATTTAAATTCAATTCACTATAACATTTTTCAATTCTTATGACAACTACCTTGAATAATCCAGGGTTATGTTATAATCGTAAGGGGCTGAACAATAGGCCTTCTGGTCACAGTCCTATGCTTTTAAAACTCATGTTAGAAAATATGTATTATTTTTTTAATAATATTCACATTTAGAATTCTTTTAAAAAATAACCTGACTTTTTTGATATAAAAATGAAAATGACCAAATTTGGTGAAGCAAATTAAAGTGCAAACAGTTCAGAAATGCAGTATATTTCCTATTTAATTGTAATTTTTTAAATACATATTAGTATTAACGTATGTGACTCGCTTTTAAATTAATGAAGAAAGAATCAACTAATTAATAAGAGTCTTTGCAAAATTAAGAAGATATGGAATTGTCTCCACAAAAAAAAGATCTGCTTAAACAGTTAAAGTTTAACTTAGCGCAACATACAGTGAAGCGAATAACGTAAACTATCCAGAAACCTGCTTATATATCAGGAAGACGTTGCTATATCTTACAGTATTACAACGTCAATCTAGAGAAATCTTTTCTATTTCTAAAAATCATAGAAAGTTTTTGCTTGAAATTGCAAAAATTAAATTTTTGAAAATTCTTGATATTGCTCGTCTAACCATATTATGGATATTTATAGTGAGCATTAGTTTTGTAAGATTTTTTTGTATGGTAGATCCATTCTTCGCCAAATTAGAGCAACACTATGACGTTCACTAAGCGTGGTTATGTGTTGTCTCACTAAATATGAAGTTTTAATAGCCGGATTATAGTTTTACGATTTAATAATATAGTACTGTTATTTCCGAAAGTATGGTCTGTCATAAGCACGTCATGTGGAAACTCCCCAATTACACTTACTGGCCACTTACAGAAAATGGAAAATCGATTCAAATACTTAATGTTCAAACTTAGGTACAACGAAATTAAAACTAATTTAAAAACTTATTTAATTTGGGACCAAGAAAACTTTTTCTTTTGTTATAATTTTCATTGAACTTGATCACAAATGTTCAAGCGTATCAAAGAAAAGTGTGTAAACTTTTGAAATTGTTTACTTACGCCGCTTTGAGTTGAGTTCCTTTTGTATAACATAAAAGATTAAATTTATTTATTTATAGGCGATTTGTTTACACCTCAGCGATGATATTGAATTTTGGAAAATTTTATAAAAAGCTTAAGCAAAATGCACGAATTTAAATATCCAATCATTGATTTATAAATTTAAAATAAAAGACACTATAGATAGACTTACCAAAACACTTCCAGATTTGCGTACATTCAGATTTGTTTGTGGTACCAATTCCAAATAGTTTGGTCTCTGTGGTGGATTGATATCTGGCGTTACAGTTAATTGCTCTGAAAATATAAACGAAACATTCTATCAATTATATTTACACCGTACTTTGTGTCTAATATAATTTCGTATATTGTAAATTTAATACATTTCAATTGCTATAACATTTATTTCAATACTTAAATAATTTTGTTTATCTTTTAGTTTTTACAATATACTCGTATTTGTTTAGTTTTGTGATAAAACTTCATTTAATATCAAGGTAAAGCATAATTTATATTTAATGTAAACAATTTTACTGAAAACATAAATAGAATTAAAATAAATTAGTATAATTAACATGTATATATTCAACAATATTTATTTATTACTCTAATTTAGAACAAAATGGTTATATATATATTCCTTTCTATTGTAAGTATATAAACATTTTCAATATATGCAAATAAATATACACATGGGGATGAAGTGTGGAAATTATAAATTAATTAAGTATATTTTTAAAATATTATGTAATTTTTCATTTTAGTAAATATTTGTTGGCATCAAAGCAACAGGCAATACGAGGGCTGCCTCGTCTTTTAAGTCTTTCGCCTAACAATAAGAATAAGTGGTTAATCAGTAAAAATGTTTTTTTTTTGTTTTTTTTGAAGTATTCTCCATGGTGATCAATACATTTTTGCATTCGATTAAATTAATTTTCAAACAATTTTGTCACTCTTGAAGTTGATATCTTTAAAACCAGGTTTTTGAAACTCTTACCACACTTTTTTTGTCTTTAATTTTTGTGTTAAAGTTTAGGAACAAGAAGTAATTGCGTGCCAAGGCGAGACTGTAAGGCGGATAATCCATCAATCGACGTTTTGAGAGCCTCAATCAACATGTTCAAGGAAAGTTGGTTCTAGATTTCTTCTTGTGAATCATATTTATATTATTACCCTAATATTGCAAGAATATAGTGATTGTGATCACTAAAATGCATCCGCTCAACAGAGACATGAAGTTAAAGAACATTTTGTTCTATTAGTTTATTAATTAAGTTCCCTGGCTCTCTTATGACTATGATACGAATTTCAGCCTACCGCAATAAATGTATGCTCATGACATTAAATAACAGTGTGAAGGTAGGCAGTGAATGTAGCTACTGGGAGGTTAACACACAAAAGTAAGTGCGATACCCATATCAGCATTTCGCCAATTAAAATTAATTTTGAAGATTTCGGTGCTGAATTGATTTTTGAATATAACCAAAATAATATCTAACTATATAGAAACAATTTAATTATTTATTAACCAAAACCAAAAATAGAGATTTAAGGAGAATTCAAATGCTTATAATTCATGTATTCATGTATATTATATATAATTTTGTTAAAATGATATATAATTCAAAAATTTAAAAATACGTAATATGTTTGCTTCGACGCTTCTTCGAACGTCCATCTGTTTCAAAAGAAATTATTTTGATATATTCCTAGAATTTTTTAAGTGCCTAAACGTTGTGTTGAAATATTTTCGGGTTTAGTTGCGTCGAAAGAAGAGGTATGGTGTGTTCATGTGATCTACATGTTATGATGCATCACTTGATATGTACGTGATTTCCCGCCCCATAGTTACAGTTACAATTATGTGTTATGCGCTAAGTTGATGAGAAGTCGTATGATGTTATAGTTGTGATGATTATAATAAATTCAAAATGTGACCAAATAATATATTGAACTGCTCGTTTATTTTTTATATATACGATTAATATACATTGTACATACATAGGTATGTATATGCCATAATACATTCCATCTTCTCTGAAAATTTCGACTTATTTATTTTTAAATATTTTTCTTCTGCATGTGTATTAATGATGTCGCTGCTGTTTAAATGTTGTGAATTTTTGGCAGCAACTCACTAAAATAATTTATTTTTATTTATTTATTTATTTATTTTTGATGACGTCAAACTCTACCTTGTTCTCGAAAACAAAGCAAAATTGTTTAAGCAAAAATGAAAAGCATAATACTCGTAATTTCATTGTTGTTGTTTGAGTTTTATTTCGCAAACGCAAAATACAGACTGTTCAATCATTTATTTCAAGATAATCATTAATTTTGCCTGTGCTATAGAAGGTAATAGTCTTAGAGGTGCCGGCCCATAATATACGATCTATTGTTCGTAGATTGCACATTTACCAATAATATTTTTGTGTTTAGAAATGAGATAGGTTTTTGACATTTTTGATAAGTGAGCTAAATTCTAAAAAAAACTGAATTTCAAGAAATTTCAGCTTATAATATTGCAGCTAATGTGTAATATTGCAGCTACTTTTCAAATAAAATAATTTTTTTAGTATATAAGAGAAACAGAACTTTTTTAAAATATGTAAGTATATAGTAACATCATCTATGGACCCTTACATGCGTATATGTTTTATTAACAAAATTTATTGATATTTGGACTTATAGGAATGATGATTTTATTTCATCATAAAGTATAAACGTAATAAGCTCTTGTTCGATACTTTCGTACTGCCATACTAATATTTACTGTAAGTTAAAGATTTATGTTACGGACGTTTATATTTGTTAATACATGTACTCATTACAAAGCCCTATTTTGTACAAAGTTCTATTTGCTTTGGATTACAATTTATATCCGAATGTATTATATTTGTATATGAATGTATATATAATGAGGTGGACAAGAATTGATGAATATATTAAGGGAAACAGAACACAAGTTTTAAGAATGTAAACTTATATAAATTTAATATATTATATATTAATAATTTTCATACATAACATTTAATTTATATTAATTTTTTTTTTTTGGAACACCATTACCTTTCTTTCCAATCTCATCATCGCTTAACTGCTGCTCCGATATGCGATCTACGTCAAGCAGCTCCGATGAGGCATCTGATCGTTCATCGTTATGATCCACGGAATTTTTGTGAAGATTAAATTTGTGACATACTTCGAAGGCTTGGCCGACTGTGCGAACAATGCGCATTGCTTGTGACTGTAAATATACAAAGTTTTATTAATGTCATTCATTATGATTTGTTAAAATTACACATCTATTTCAAAAATTTTTTTGAAAGAAAAGAAAACAAAAAACGGCTATTCTAAACATTTTCCAAAGAAATTGTACATAAATTTAATTAATTTTAAAATTAAATGTCTTCCTGATATACACACTTTACTATCGCAAACTAACGCAATCTTTTATTAAAATTGCTTAAATTAATGAGACACTCTTTTTCCCATTACCTCAAATTCATTATTATCCATAAAACCACAACCTGGTGTTTCGCCTGACATATTATTGCATTTTGCAAAGCGACTATCTTGAGCCGGTGACTTGCTTAAATTATCACAGTTGCCATTATTGCCACTTTTAATAACCACAGCAGTAGGAGTAGTAGGCACTTCTATATAACCGCCATCCACAGCTCCACCAACTGGAACAACTTTACTATTACCACCACAAACACCACAACCACCACTGTGTGTACCACAATGGCTGTGCTGGGTGGGTGAGCTAAGACGACGTGTTCTATTCCTTTCCGCTACAACAGGTTCACGAAACGACAGCTTTTTGCGTGGTTTGTCAGTTTTAGGGCGTTCAAAAGTCATGACACCAGCACCACTCGACAAGTTGCTCGTAGCGCCATTATTATCGAATTGTGCGCTATCATAAAAACCATCAGTTAATGATTTTCTTCGTCGCATTTGCACGCGTTGCTCAGAGCGCTGATAAAGTTGATTATGGCGTCGGCCGAGCTCAGGTGTCGTTATTAGATTGGGATAGGTTTCTATTGGCGAAGTATTTTGTCGCTGCAGTAAACTACGTTTTCCGATAATATTGCTACAAGTATCGTTTAACGCTTTTGATGGGTGATAATTACGTTGATTTGAATAACTTCCCGACACAGCATGATTATTGTCCATTATATCTATTGCTGTAGACTTTGTTGACTTTGGTGTTGTTTCTAGTGACAGCTTTTTTAGTTTGAGCCGCGCTTTAAGTACAGAATTTTCTGAATGTTCATTTTGCACACCTTCCTTTTCATAATTAGTGTCATGATTTGGTGATAATTTTCTATTACCTTTAGTGTGTCCAGTGTATCCTATACTCTTACTTATTTCCTGATTGACCGGAAGTTCCTTTTTTATTAAATACACAGTATTTTCATCATTGAAGAGTATGTGTTTGTTGTTGTGACTATGCAAATCACCAGTGTGAGTAGCGTTTGTACTAATGGATGTGGTTGTGTTTCTAGTAGTAGTGATGTTACTGTGTACTGATTCGTTGACGAAATGTGTTTGCGCATCATTTTGGTACTGTATACCATTAGTATTATAGCCATCCTGATGATCCAGCTCATTACTACCAAAAAAATAATCATCATCATCTTCTGCTGCTGCCAAATTTAAACGATAATCATTTCTATTTCTTATAATATTTTCGATGAATGTATCATCTATAAACGTAGAGCGACCATGTATCTGTTTCTCAGCTGCATCCTGTTTTTCAACACAATCGATTAGCTCATTTATGTCTAAGCTTTTATTGCGTGCTATTATTTGTTTAGTCTTGCGTTGTGTGTCCTTTTTTGAATTGTTGCTACTGGAATCAGACACCTTTTCCTTATTAGTTTTATCACTAAGTATATCACGTATCACTCCACCGCCACTACGAAATATATTGCGATGGTAGTGTGCAGTGCTGTCTTTTTTCTCATCTTGTATTAAATTTGTGCGTGTTGTGATAGCAGTAGTAGGTTTTTCAGTTGTTTTTTTGCTACGTGTCCAAGGTAGAAAATCGAATGCTTTTGTAATCGGACTACGGTTTACGCTTGGTCCCTCCGATGTGCTACGGTTGCGCCACAAACTACGTTTAGCTGGAGGCGTAGTTGTGGGTTGATTTTTAGAATTTGTTTTTCTCATTAGACTGGGTGCTGCCATATCTTGCTTCATTTTTGCAAATTTACACACACCAATAGTCCATTCAAGTTCAAAGTTTCTTGTAAAATACAACGTACCCTGCAAGGTAACATTAAATCGACGCCTCTCTTAAAATACTGCAAGCAATATAAATTTCACTTGTGCCTTCAATCTGGTTTTTGTTGCATACTTATTTTAATAATTAAATTTAAATTCTCTATTTCGTTTATTAAATTAAAGTTGTCAAATTTCATTCGTACATAAACGTTGCCAATTGTGTGAGATTTCAGCAAAATATTTTTCCGTGATTTGCTAATAAAGTTGAAGGACGTACATTGGATTTTAGTTATTATATTAGAAATTTCTCATCACTTATTATTGTTATTATTGTTTACTAAAGTGCTTGCTTTTTAATTGTTGATTTAACAATTTTGAAACTATTAATATTAATTAAAACTTTCATCAAGCATATATCTATCCAGTTCACACCTTCGCAAAGTTTATTCACTTGTGTCGATATTTTGGGATCAATTTTTTTTTACTTTAACAAACACAAAATGTTTTTTAATTTCTAATATTGTTTTTATTTTACTTATGGTTTTTCATTATTTTATTTATAACGCATTAACAGTTTTGTAGTGTGCTGATTTTTACAAATTTTTGCCCGCATATTTGCAACTAAATAATTAATATTTACTTTAAGTTTATAGTCCAATTTATTAAAAGCAATATTTTTAAATTATGCAAAATCTACTCCTGATTTTATGGTCTACTAACCCGCATCGAAATAAACAATGTTCCAAAAATGTCAGCCAAAAAAGCAAACAGCATGTATGGAATACTGACAGCAAAAGTAAACATATTCCACGGATAGATTCGTGTATTGTAAGGGTCAGCATTTATTTTATTTTAGTTAGTATATACTCTAAATACACTTCTAGAGAAACTCAAAAGTAGTAAGTAACGCAAATTTTTGTCAATTTTGACGAAAAAAAGCAATACTAAACCACAATTTTCTTTTTGAACTTTTATTAGTCGAGAGCAGTATTTATTAATCAGAATGCATTCTATCCTGGTCTGGCTAGTTCTTCCACAATATTATTTTTGTGTTTTAATTCAAGACTTTGAACTTAAATCAATAAAATTATATACTAGTTGGACAACGCGAGAATAGCAGTTGTAATGTAGCGGAGAGTCTCCGTATTTTTAGAGCTAAAGATGTTTTTGTGATAGAACACAAAAGTACATCATATTTTAAGCAGGTTTGTAGCCAGAAATGTTTCTGTTAAATAATTTAAAAAGAAATTTATTTTATTAAGCCCTTTGAAGCCCTATACATTAATAATGACTATATATATCTTGGCCATAAGTCGAAGGTCACGGTGCATTAATATTTAATATATATATATATAAATATATCTATAAATATAGTCGGCGACTGGTTCTGGAAGAGACTTCAGCCTCTTAAACCTACGCTGGCTTCGTGCCTAATTACAACGTATCTTTTAAAGAAGTATAAGTGTAAATTTGGAATAAGAAAAAAAAACTAGAAAATGTAAAATTAAATATAAATTTTAAATATATGTAATTTTAAATATATGTAACTATAAAATAAAAATAATATGTTAATAAATACAAATTGATAAAAAAGAATTAATTATACGTAAATAAACCATAGATGATAAACCATAAACATATAATTAAATGAAAATGAAATTATGTAATGATATAATAATATTCAGTATTGTGACACAACGTACACAATATATTAAACAAATCAATAATTAAATGTAATGTAACGCACTAAATTGATTTTTCATAAATAGTAATTTAAAAAATGACAGACCTTTTATTTTGTAGGCATATAACAGAAGAACAACTGCTTATTTTAAAAACAAACAACACTACTGGCTTATTTATTCAACATTTTTAAAATTGCTTAACTGATAAGCAGCTCAAATTGCATGGTTGCCAAGACTAAAAGTTTGTCTATTGTGAACGAAATTTCCAGTTAACTGTCAACGAATGATTTCGTTAAATTTTCGTATTTCATGTCGTCATTGTTCGTAACAAATACGTTATTGTTTCTATTTATTATTTTACTGTTAAAAGGCGTGAAATATTATATTTTATTTATAATCATGTTAAAAAAATCACCAATAATTGCAAAGAACTATTATTCATTTTCGAAATTTCAACTTTCAATTTTATTTGAATTTATTTGTTTTGCACATATAAGCCTAACAAAATCTCCATTTTGTCAAGAGTTGTCATTGAAAATTGTGCTTATTTTATTTGTTTTTTTTTCGACATGTTTACAAAAGAAAACGACTATTATTATAACATTATAAATTGCTTCGGAAATTTATATTTGTAAACTTAATTTTAAATTATGTGGTTTTGTAAATGGTATGCAAATAAGATAGACTTGAACAACTTTGTATCGCATAGCTAAAGAAGTTATCGAGGGTAAATGTGTTCCAACAAAGCGAAAACTTTTAGGAATTGTGATGGCTATATTTGATCCATACGGCATCTTAGCGAATTTTTTACTTGTTGCCAAAATATTATTGCAAAAAACCTGGAAAAAAAATTAAATTAGGACGATTTGTTACCACCTACGTTATCTCAAAAATGGTTTCTGTGATGGGACGAATTTGTCAGAATAGGCAATTTCTTTGAACCAAGATGCTACTCGCCGCATCTCAACATTGCCAAAGAGGTCCAAATCCATATATTTATGGATGCCAGTCAAGTTGCATTTGCTGCAGCCCTGTGTCCGCGAATTAAACATCAATATGTAGTCGATGTAGTTTTTGTCTGTGGTAAGACTCGCATAGTGGCTCAGAAACTCCTATCCATGTCAAGGCTGGAACTGCAGGCTGCAGTCTTGGCTACTCGATTATCAACGCTGGAGGTGGACAGACATGAAATAAACATAAGCCGTATAGTATTTTGGACTGATTCTAACACAGTTCTTTGTTGGGTACATTCAAGACATCGCCGATTCAAACCATTTGTTGGGCATCGTATAGCTAAAATATTGACGAAAGAAACGAAAGAAGACCAATGGAGATGGTTGCCAACAAAGATGAACCCTTCTGACGCTGCAACAGGAGCTAAAGAGGTGCCTAAAATAAATACTGACAACATTTGGTTAAAAGGGCCAACTCGCGTACAGACCAAGAATGGTTTTCTAACTCGTCCAGCCACCAAGCTAGCCGCTTGTCAGATTAGTGAACCTTGCGAAGATTCACGGAAGGGCGGAATGTAACAGAAAAAGCAACATTGAGCAACAATAAGCTGGATGTAGCCCTGCGAGGCAGCATGACAGTTGATATGAATGACAGTACAAAGGAGAAACGGATCAAAAGCACACAAATGTGAAACACGTTGCGCGTCGATTTTAATACAAATAATATTAAATTGATTGTAAACTAATATATATATATACAGTAAATAAATTGTCAATGAAATAATAGGCCGGTGTTCATAATCGATCACAAACTTGACTTCACCTACTGTCGATAAATATCTGGATTGGCGTTGATAATCGGAAGAATAAGTCTGGTGAATTTTGTTTGTTTTGTTTTGTAAGAATTGAAAATTAAACAATTTCCAATTTATTCTTAATAACAACATAAACCGCATGGTAGCAACCACGAAATGTTCGTAACTACAGGAATAAAATTGTTTTATTAAGATTTATCAAATTTACAAAACAGCACAACAGCACATCAGCACAACAACAAAAATATAAATTTTATATTTTCAGAAAATAAATAAAATTTAATAAAACATTTTAGAGAAGTAAACCACATGCAGCTCAGTACACGAAAGCAAGAGCATGGCACAAAATTTCGTTTACTTTGCAAAAGCGACGCGCATTGTATCGTGTTTGTAAACAAGTTGTGAATGTGTTTGTGAATTGCCGACAAATTGAGTTTGCCTTTTAATTGTATATGTAGCGTGCGGAGACTGACGCATGTACGCAAGAAAAAGCAATGGCGTTCGTTGTGTTGAAGAGTTGCACAAATGGCTGCTGCCAATTGTGTATTTTTACACATCTACATCTGCGCACTTCCGAAAAAATGTTGATAATGCCAAGTTTTTCGAGTAACTAAGCTAACTACTAGTATACAAAATCCAAAGCGGTACTAAATTTTAACCAAACTCTATATAACATATATTTAATATTACATACTTTTTATTGGTAATGCGATCGGTGACATATCGCTTGTATACCATATTTGTACATTGGTATGCACAATTCTGACAATTACATACATATAAGGAATGCGTTCCTTTTAATTGTAAGTCAAATGTTGATAAGACATTTGATGTTGTTGGATGATCAGACCCCAGATTACATATTGAGCAATAATAGAAATTTCTTTTTGCTCTTTGAACTTATCAAACAAGAAAAAATTTTTAAAAACAATTAAAATATTGGAAAGTGGCGGGATGTAGTTGAGAATTAATCATTATGGCGAAGATGTACATATGTACATTTCTTGTAATTAATTGCCAAAATTACATTAATTCTCGTTTCTTGAATACCAAAAAGTAAATGTAAAACATTTTTAATTACATCTTTTATAAATTTTGATTTTAAATTTTATTTCATTTTGTTGCTTCTGTTGCTGTTATTGTTGTAACTTTGCGGTGCGTTGGTGTATTTATTGTTCTTTGTTGCTTGTTTCTTGTTTAAAATGACGCTCAAGTAAGCATAATAAAACAATACAAGCGAATATAAAATTATTTTTTCTACAAGTAAATTTAATATTAAATTAACGCTTTAACCACTTTCATGTAAACAATTGCAACCAATACAAACAAATATCTAGCCAACAACAACAAAAACACAATACGTAAATAAGAGCGCAATATAAAAACGAATAATGTCTATCGACACTTAAACAGAAAAGAAGATTAAAATATGTATAAATGCAAACATTTATATAAAAATAAACCATTAAATGAGAAAAGTTTTAAAACGATACCTAATAAACTATAGATCTGAAAGATATAATATTTTGACGCAGGTAAAAAGTTTATAGCTCAACATCATATTAATATCCTTGTAGTTTGTATGGATAGGGTGTATTTGATATGTTACTGATAAGTTGAATTAATTGAAATTACCCAGTTTCCACTTTATTTTTCGACATAATTCCTTTTCAAACCAATTTTTTTTACCAAAACCAAACTTTTTAATAAGTATTTACATAATTTATTCTCCACTAAACATCCCAACATCCCTGTCGGCAAATTGCAAGCCACATCGAGAATAGATGTAGTGTTGCTATTTTTATTGACAGCCAGGCAGCAATTAAAGCTCTTGAATCCTTTATAACAAAATCAAAAATAGTAAAAGAATGTAGAGAAGCAATCGACGAGCTAAATCGGTTGGCCGATATCACACTCATCTGGGTTCCCGGGCATAGGAACATCGTCGGGAATGAGAAAGCTGATAGTTTAGCCCGCTCTGGTGCCTCCCTAGACGCGTCACTGGCGGTACCACTTTATATTACCCTGGAGACCATCAAAAGAAGTACCTTCCTTTACTTTCTGCAACTCGCCAATAACAGATGGAAAGCACTAAGGTCATGTGCAATTTCCAGGTTAACGTGGCCCACCTATAATAAAAATAAATCCCTGGAACTGATCAAAAGAGATCGCGTAAACACTGCAAGGCTTATTGCAGTTCTTACTGGTCATTGGTGTATAGGAACTCACACAGAGAAACTGCGTATTCCCTATAACTCTCACTGCAGAAGTTGTAGAAACCCGCAGGAGAGAGAAACAATAATACATTTTCTCTGTGAATGCCCAGCTCTAGCATCCAGAAGATATAGGTTCTTAGGAAAATACTTTTGTGATAGTTTATCAGACTGCTCAATGGTGAAGATGAAAGACCTATTAAATTACCTAAATTCAGTGGGATGGATTTAGTCTCTACTCTTCTATACTAGGGTTCTTGCGTGGAATGTGGTAACAAAACGAAAAATCGCTAATTGAGGTACATTTGAAGTTATCTTATGGCCTGCCACTGCAACCAACCAACCAACCAAACATCCCAACACCTAAATCAACTCTTTAAAGCTCTTGAGAATGTTTTAATTAAAATAATTATGGACGTAATTGTTACTATTTACGAATATAACAGATTGTATGAGTATACACACATAATATCCATAAGTAAATGTATTTATTTTATGAGAATCTGAAATTATGGTATCTGTCAAGTGCACCGATTAAACATTTTTAATTTTTTATTTAAGTAGTTCACTATTTTCGCTAAGTTTTCAATACAATTATTTTATTCTATTCTAACTTTAATTATTGTCAATTAACTCCAACTGTAGTTGTCAGTTAATTTGTTTGCTTTAGTATTTTAAGATTTGAATACTTATTGTAAATCTTCTTATAAAAGTGTTTCAATAAATAAAATAAATATATTTATTTAAAAAATAAAAAAAATTTTTTCTTTGTATATAAAATAGAAGAGCAGTAATATTTGTTTATGTAATTTTCTATACACACAGAATCAGTACATCTTTAGTAAACGTCAAATTTATTTAACTTCTAAAAGTGTGTCTTCTAATAATGAGACAGATGAGTTATCAGTGAAGTCGGCAGTTGTGTTAAAAATATGCACGCAGCATATCTGTTATGTGATTTGTAAATTATTACAGCAATAAAATGTGTTTAAATATGTGAAAGTAAAGCGAAAAATAGTATCAAGGTGATTTTGCCGCCCCTTTCATATTGCAGAGTAGTAGGCGTTTCATGAGGAAGACTTCCGCGAGAGAAAGATTTACCCTGGCAAGAACACACTTCATTCACTTCATACAAAACCTCATACATAGATATTTTTATGATTTTTTATCATTTCTATGGTTGGCGTCGTAGTGTCTAAAACAGCAGTTCTATATACTCAATTAACAGTGGTTTTAATGCATAGTTCGATAGGCAATATTTCCAGATGCGCAACATTTCTTCACATTTTCTTTTATTTGAGATTGTTAAAGATTAGTTCAGATTGACATATAGGTGTTGACTGATTCACATATATTCAAAACTAAGCAAATTGAAAATGTTGCAATTTTACTTATAAAAATAAAAATAAATAGACACAAAACTATTTAATTATAACAACTAATGGAAAAATACTTGAAAATGTTGTAATAGATAGAAAAATTCTTATAATTCCAAAATTTTAATATATAGCATATTCTCGGTTGAAAGATTTTTGATTTTAGTGGCATTTATATGTAGACAGCAATTTTATCAAATTATAATTGTTAATAATAAATAATAATAATTCTTTTTCTAATAACAAGCGTAAAATAACAGATTGTTGAGAACTTGAAATATACACGAATTCTATTCAGAAATAAATTATTAAAAGTTATACACTAGTTAAAAATTTATTTTGTTTTGTAAAAGAAATTATTTTATTCAATATTCTATAGAGTACTTTCCTACTTACTTTACATTAGTCCCCTAAAGATGACTATATTTCATAGTCATTTACATTAGTCCCCTAAAGATGACTATATTTCATCATCATAATATAAAATCTAAAAAGCTGCTATATATATTTCTGGCATAGGCAACACTAAGTGTTGCCAGGTGCAATCTGACATTTCCATTGGAAAAGTTGACATTTTTTAGCATAACATCACTCAGAATGTGTTGTCATTTAGTTGTGAATTGTTCTATTTACAGAGACCTAAAAAATTAATCTCGACCATAAAATGGAACCAACACATGAACATTTTCGTGCGAACATTTTTCACAACTTTTTACGTGGATTATCACGACAAGAGTGCATTGATGAACTTAAATCTTTGTATGGCGATGAAGCACCATCCTATAGCACTGTGAAAAACTGGTTTAATGAATTCAATCGTGGCCGACGCTCGCTCAACGACGAATTCTGTGAAGGTCGTCCAAAAACGGCCGTTGTGCCAGAGAACATTGATGCCGTGCGTGAACTGATAATGCAAGATCGTCATATGACATACCATGAGATAAATGCATCCTTCGGCATTTCTCCCACCAGCATACATTCGATATTGCATAAACACCTGGCCGTAAAAAAGGTTTATTCTTGTTGGATCCCGCACAATTTGACAATCTCTCAAAAAAAGGCTCGTGTCGATTGGTGCAAAGAAATGTTAAAAAAATACGTTCGCGGTGCTTCAAAAGACGTTTATAAGATGGTCACAGGTGACGAATCATGAATCCATGCGTATGAGCCCGAAA